ATCATGTTTACCGATCAGATCGTGAAAATCGTCGAGGAGGTGGTGTTGCTATATTCTATAAAAAATCCTTACATCTAAAAAATATCCAAGTTACCCAGGAGCTTACCCTTCCTGAAACCATCATCTGTGAACTATCCTTAAATATCACAATTCGATTCTTACTATGTTACAGAGCACCTGATTATGACATCGAACATGTAAACAAGCTAAATACACTACTAACATGGGCTACATCCTGCCCATACCCTTTTATCTTTCTTGGAGATTTCAATCTACCTCATATCGACTGGACCCTAAATAATTGTACAACTGAAATCATACACACAACCTTCTACAATGCTATTACAAATCTAGGTCTTGAACAACTAGTAACCAACAACACTAGACTGAACAACTGCCTCGATCTCATCTTCTGCAATAGTTTGAATTTAATTTACGGAATACAAACCAAAGAACCCTTTTCCAGTAGTGACCACAATATGATTGACTTTTGCCTCAACATACGTCCACACAAAAATCACCACAATGATGTCATCCCTAATTGTAACTTCAAAAAAGGCAACTATGATCTTATAGATAACGATCTCTCATCCCTCGATTGGCAATCTCTATTCACTGGATGCAATACTGTTGAAGACCATTACAACATATTTTTACTTGAAGTCAAAAGAGTCATCAAACTATATGTTCCAACAACAACTCCAAAAACAAAACAAAAAAGCAGATTACCCATATCAATAAGGAAACTTCAATCCAAAAAGAGATCACTCTGGCGGAAAAACAAATCTGGTCACGTTGCTAATTTCAAAAACCGATACAAAAATTTATGCCACCAGATAAAGACCGAATGCACCAATTACCACATTAAACAAGAGGAAAACCTTCTAAGCACCAATTCCACCCGTGCTTTTTACAATTTTGTAAACAACAAACTAAAAGACTCAAGGTCCATCCCTCCCTTGATAGGACCCGATGGTAAAGACTGCAGCGACGACACCATTAAAGCCAACATCTTTAACACATTCTTCGGCTCAGTGTTTGTAAACAGTAATGGATCATGCCCAATGTTTCCTAGCCGTACCACAGATAACAACAATGATCTAATACATATCGATTTTACAGTAGACAACGTTGAAAAAGCACTACGCAACCTAAAACCATCTCTATCTATTGGACCGGATGGAATATGTGCCTACTTCTTAAGAAAGCTATCCACTGCCATAGCCAAACCTCTAAGCATAATCTTTGAAAAATCTTTCAGGACCAGCTCCTTGCCCAACCTATGGTTACAAGCCACAGTCATCCCTATCTTCAAAAAGGGAGACCCAAGCCTAGTTGAAAATTACAGACCAATCTCCTTATGCTGCGTCACCTGTAAAGTCATGGAATCAATTATTAACCAATCCATCATCCTCCATTTAGAGACAAACAACCTACTCTCCAATAAACAATTTGGTTTCAGAAAAAAACTATCCTGTAATCTGCAACTCTTACACTGCAAAAACATATGGACTACACAACTCGACCAGGGCAAAGCAATAGACGCAATCTACATAGACTTCTGCAAAGCCTTTGATTCAGTGGTACACGACAAACTACTCCTAAAAATAAAATCTTATGGTATCTCTGGACAACTGAATAACTGGATAGAAGCATTCCTGTCAAACAGACAACAAATGGTCAAAATTGGGAACGCACTATCAAATCCAGTACCTGTCAATAGTGGTGTTCCCCAAGGCAGTGTTCTAGGACCAACTCTCTTCATAATCTACATAAACGACCTTTGTGATCATATCAAGAGCAATTGCGTTCTCTTCGCTGATGATGTAAAGCTGTTCAATACCACAGACAATACTACTACCCTACAAAAAGATCTAGACTATGTATCTGAATGGTCTAACATATGGCAACTTAAAATCTCAACAAATAAATGCTCTGTCTTACATATTGGTAAAAAAATCAGAAAATAAAATACAAGCTGAATAGTCAAGACCTTGTTGACGACCCAAGCTCTGTAAAGGACCTGGGAATACTCACCTCTAATGATCTAAGTGCTAGAGCCCACTGCAACTACATAGCCAAAAAGGCATTAAGAGTTGTTAACCTAATCCTACGTTGCTTTTTCTCTGGTAATATCTCACTACTAACCAGAGCATACAAAACATTTGCTAGACCAATACTCGAATACAGTTCATCAGTCTGGAATCCTTATCACGTATGTGATATTAACACAATTGAGAAAGTCCAGAAGTATTTCACAAGAAGAGTTCTCCACTCTTCTACCCGTTGTAGAATACCTTATGCCACCAGACTCGAAATTCTAAAACTAGAAAACCTCGAATTACGCCGTCTTCGGTCCGACTTAAGCATGGTATATAAAATCATACATTGCAATGTCCTACCTGTCAATGAATACTTCAGCTTTAACCATAACAACACAAGAGCACACAACAGATACAAACTCAAAGTAAACCGCACCAAACTTGATTGCAGGAAATACGACTTCAGCAATAGAGTGGTCAATGTCTGGAATACTCTACCCGACTCTGTAGTCTCTTCCCCAAACCCCAAAAACTTTAACCTTAGACTGTCTACTATTGACCTCACCCCTTTCCTAAGAGGTCTGTAGGGGGCGTGCATAAGCGCACCAACGTGCCTACCGTCCCTGTCCTATTGTTTCTCTTGTTCTTTTGTTTTTCTTGTATGTGCCCATTTCGTGTATTCACAACTATGTATACACTTGTACTTATTATCTTGTAAACAATTGACAAATCAAATAAATAAATAAATAAATTTCTGGAACACATGGAGCATCTTATGGTTTCATGAACATTTCCTCCCTATTTCTTCCGCAGACATGGCCTGTACAATCTATCTGCTTCTCCTTCCTTCATATTCCGTTTCTGCCAGAAGAAGGTTCCAGGTGGCTTTCTTGGGACCACTTCTGTCATCTTCAGAGCAGCTCACTCAGCTGGTGGTGGAGAATTTGGGCCATGAGGCTTCAATTGGTCTCTGCTGGGTGCAGCACTTTTAAGGTTTGGGGGCATCAGGAGGGGGCTTCTTAATTTCAAAGCTAGAGGCAGTACACATACCAAGACCATGTGAGAAATGGAAGGAACAGAGAGAAGCCAGTGTAAACCACAGGGCAAAATAAGTTATTTCCTCCATCACTGGCAGAGCAAGTTGTTCTGAAAAAGGCCAGATGTTGTGAAGAAGCCTTCAACAACACCCCAAAAGAGAACGACCACAACTGAGCGAAAAGGAGTAAATATACAGATGAGCTAAATCTTAAATTATGTACTTTCCATCTACTTGCCATTTTGTGCATGTATGCTGAAATCTAGTTTCCACTTAACAAACATGGTTATGCAAACTATAGGTAGTTCTCAATATATGTCTGGTAACTTAGTGACCATTCAAACTTGAAAAAGGGGATTTATATAACCCAGATTTGAAGTTCTGACTGTTGGGACACATCCAAAGTCATTTGCAGCATATGGTCAGGCCCATTTATGACTGCTTGTAGAGTACCGTGATCACGTTTTTATTATGGTTTTGCAGAAAACTGGCACTTTCTTTTGGTTTCTGGCAAATCCATACTAAACATAGTCCTCGACTTACAACCATCCGTTTAGTGACTGTTCAAAGTTACAATATTGAAAAAGTGAGTTATGACTGTTTTTCACACATACAACCGCTGCAGCATTCCCCATGGTCATGTGATCAAAATTCAGTTGCTGAATTTGGCAACTGGCTCATATTTATGACGGTTGCAGTATCCCAGGATCATATGATCATCTTTTGTAACCTTCTGACAAGCAAAGTCAATGGGGAAACCAGATTCAATGAACAATTGTTTTACTAACTTAACTGCAGTGTTCCACTTAACAACTGTAGCATTACTATTCACAAAATGGAGCAAAACTCACTTAACCACTGTTTCACTTAACATCAGAAATTTTGGGCTCAATTGTGGTTGTAAGTTGAGGATTATATGTGTAGCAAACCAGTGGTTCGTTTAGCGATTTTTACAACATACTACTGTACTGGGCAGGCTCCATTACGATTATATGTTGAGCACTACCTGTATACATAAAGTGATTGTCAATTATAAGAACCACCTAATGAGGGTGAAGGTATTGCATAATTTATTGTAGAATCTGCCTTGTAGGCTGTGTTTTATACTTATGTACAGCTATCTACTCAACAGACAATATAGTTCATTGCATGCCTATGTGGACTACCATTCTATTTAGATATAAGTGATTTAACTTTTCCATTTCTATTATTAGATCTTCAGCATGAATGCTTTCAAAGTATCTGGAATGTTTGCTGCATATTTGAAAGAACCACATTCTTAAATTATTTCTTCTCAATTTCTGTTGTTAACTGTCAACTTAGTTATTACAAAACAAATTGTGTAATTTTGATATCCATCTCACTAGTAAGGTATTATAAAACATTCTAGTGTTTATGTTCTAATATGACTTTATCCTAGACATTCAAATATTGCATATGAATAATCTCAGGCAACAACTACATACATATATTAAATTGGAGAATATCTTTAGGTGAACAAAATCTTGCCCCAGAAATCATCTCTCCTTTTATTCTTTATGGTGATCAGTTGGGGGCCAAAATGTAGCAAAATTGAGAAATGAAAGAATTCTTCTTTGAAATTTAAATATAAAGAGGAATAAAAAATCTATCTAGGTAGCAGAAGAATTCCACAGAATTCTAATGAGATGAAAAAAGGGAAGAAAATGGCCCAAATAATAATTTATAAAATATAATAATATAATTATTAGCTGACCTCGCACATATTTTTAGCATTTAAAGTCCTTCATGCAACTCTGAATTTGTGATCACAGCAAAATCTCTTTTTGAATGGTTAAACAATATTTTATACAGCAGCAAAATGTTAGCTGTCCCATCATCATTCACCAGCATTAAGTCAGTTGTTTCAAATGATAGAAAGGGGCATTTTTTCCCCCTCTTACCTTAGAAAACATTTGTTCCATTTGCTGTTGGCTTTTCATCTTCATTTTTGTAGGAGTTGATGGGCAGCTAATATCCACAGACTGCAACAAAAGAGCTGCAGTCTGCTGTGAAAATTAGGAGACAATGATTTTTTTACTCTTAGAGAAAACTAGAATAAAATTAATTCATCCAGTAGCAAAGAGATCACTCATTATGAAAATGCAAAACTGTTTAAGCCCTTCACTTGAAAACTAATAATTTAAAAAATGAATAATCTATTTACAAATACAACTATTCAGTCTAATTTTATGACCATTAGGATAAAACATAGGTTTATATAATGTGGTGCACTTCATCAATTTTGTTGATTCCTACATATTTGTTTCCACAGTATTAAAAACTCAATGTTAACATAAACTTGATTAGCCTCTCTTAACCAAGGGAACTGTATAATCTGCTAAATACTGACCATTTTCTATTAATGGGTTTTGGAAGAGATTTATACACTGGATCTACACAAATGTAATGTTCATATATATTTTTTCAAGTGGAGTTTGTTTGTTTTTTGGGACGGACTGCATCTAGTGCCACTTAGGCAAGAAGACTTCCCTTTTATAATTGCAAATCTTTTTTAGCAATTACTTCACCTAATTATCCAGGTTAGATTTGAAGTGAATATAGGAGAGTAGGATGGGAAGAAAATCTGTTTCACTGGTTATTCAAGAGCCTTGGTGGCACAGTGGTTAGAGTGCTGTACTGCAGGCCACTTCTGCTGACTATCAGCTGCCTGCAATTTGGCAGTTCAAATCTCACCAGGCTCAAGGTTGACTCAGTCTTCCATCCTTCCGAGGTGGGTAAAATGAGGACCCAGATTGTAGGGGGAAATATGCCGACTCTGTAAACTTAGAGAGGGCTGTAAAGCACTATAAAGCGATATATAAGTCCAAGTGCTATTGCTATTACAACCAACACAAAATAATTTATAAAATGCAAAACAAATGGAAGCAAAAATAGGATTAAAATTAACCGCAGCCTTTCTTTTTCACCAAGGAAAATTGTTAACATTATTAAAAGTTATACTTAAATATGTTGACTTACTGAAAACAAACATTCCTAAACTGAGATCTTTCAGCTAAGAGGTTTGGGATTCTAAGGCTCCATCCAGTTATTCACAACCCTCCAAAAAAAAACAAAAAAAAAACCACCTCAAGTGAGAGTAATTGATATTTGTACTACAACCTCTGCGAAGTACCAGATTCCCCACTTTTAATTTAATGCTATATTACTGTTCCAATTACTGGAGAATATGCTAAACGAAACTTCCCAAAACAAACAAAGAAAGAAGAAAATCCCTACACAATTCCATTATTCTGTTTTCAGGATTCTGGAAAGATGGTTTAGAAGTTCATGTCAGCCAAACTTGCAAAAATTGAGAATGAAACATCATCAGTATTTCAAGAACTGCAGATGTTATGAAGAAATAGAAACAAAAGAAATAAAAGAGATTCATAAACATGTCATACGTTTATGCAAAGAGATGAAGTGCATTTCAATTCTCCCCTTAGACTTTATGAATATAACCTGTGAATCCGTGCTTTTATCCCATGATGCCATCGCACATGGGTGTAAATACAGTTCATTCACTGGCCAACTGAATGGATATTTCGGGCCTTTGGAGAATGCTTGGCAAACTCACGTAATCATAAATTAGAAAGGAAGAATAAAGCAAGAAAGGTTTCAGGAGGATTCATTATTTCAAAACAGTGACACCTTGAGAACATAAGCTTACTTTTATTTCAGGGGAATAGTCACAAAAATTGGTATTAAAACAATATATTGGTATCAAACTTGCAGAAAAGTTACAGCTGTATAGCTAATTCAGTCCATTAACACATTTTCATAATTAAAAAATTTGGAAGTTCTAGAAGGAAATTGCTTTGTTAAAAAAGCAGCAACATTTGCAAAATTTAAATTAATTGGAAATTATTTTCCAAACACATTAGTTCACAAATCTAAGATTCCTATTAAGTCATAAAGTTGTTGCACCTTGATTTTGCCCAAGCAGAACATCTACTACTACAAACAACTGTGTTACAACAGGTTGTTTAGTTTCAGCACAACCCAGCTGAACAAAGAGAGGACAGCATATTACTCTTCCTGAATCTGTGGCGCATGTATTTTACACTTCTATTTTACACCTCCATTGTAAACAATAAGTTTCTGTTTTTTTCTTCTTCTCTCTCTCACACACATGGTTTACAAATAGAACTAAACAAAAGCATCTATTTATTGATTCTAATCCCAAAAGACACATAGCTAGTAACAGCCCAAACTTGACCTCAAGTATGTTAACTGCAGAATAGAATATACTATCAATAGGAAACTTAAGAATGTTACAATCAAGGTATGAAATGCCCAAGTTCTAAAACCCCTAAATGAGGCTTTCAGTAACAGAAAATGAAAATTATTCTCGCAGTTTTGAAGAAATGTCAATATCTAATAAGGGAAGTAAAACAACAACCGGAGACAAAGAAATCATTTAATGTATTTTCAAAAACAACAGATTTTGATAAACCAAGAGTCGCAAAAGTTGGTAAGGCAATGAGGAACAGAGAATTTGGGAACACTCAATAGTGGAAAAACAGGTTGGGAAGAAGTGTAAAAAGCTGGTGAGCAAAACTGAGCTTCCAGAAACAAAAGGCAAGAAGAAAAGCAAACTGCAAAGTATAGGCCGCAAAGAATCATTTCAAAGAATGGGAGCAATGAAGCAATAATATTTTTAGCAGGTACAATAAAGTAGCAGAGATTTGGGGCTTGAGGAAGAGCAAAAGGTGGTATTAAGAAGCATAAGAAAAATAAAAGAAATTTGCTCCCCACTAAGCTCAGGAAAGCAATTTGAAATTTCTCAAACTCAGACTGGACCGAACCACAACTGTTCTTGCTGGAATTCATGAACACATAAGAAGCTGAAGCCAAGTTTGGAGCTGAAGCAAATCTGAAGCAAAAAGTTAAATAAGTAAAGCAAATCTGAAGCAAAGAGTTAAATAAGTAAAAAAACAACCTTTAGCCAGAATTTTTTAGGGGCAGGAAGGAAGAATTAAAGTTGAAAAAAAGAAGATGGAGATAACAGAATTAAGGGATAAAAAAAGACAGCAAAAGCAAAGTGAAGTAGTTCAGAATGGAAACCTGGGGGAAGAAAGAGAGAATGCTCAAGAACTTCATATAAGATCTCATCAATCTTTTTTTCAGAATAGAAAAAACATCTTTACTATGCTTGTATTGCATCTTTCCATTGAAGAATGAAGTTTAATAGCCATAAGGACAGCAAACATTTGAAAGCTAATTAATAAACTGTTAATGTCCCTGTTAATTTTTTTTTTAAAATCATGATCTACATCCTTCTAAAAAGTTAAATAAAAAGAGATAGCTAAAGAGATTCCTCATAAGAAACCCTGGATAGTCCTACCCCAAACCACTTGCTATTTTAAAAGATTAATACCACTGGAGACTAGGAGACAATTGCTAGAGACAATTGATTACCAATGCAGTTAACTTTACAGGCATGATTTGATTACCATATTATGCATGAGTAAGCAGTCTTACTACTGCAATTTCTGGAAACTATGGATACTCTTATTTTTCTTTAATAGCGCATACTGCAGCATTTTACTATCATGATGGAGCCAAATCATGAATAAATATTCATCATTGATTCATGAATAAGTGCATGGCTCTGGGGTATGAAATTGTACTATTGTCTCTCTGGTCCTTGGCAACCCATAAAGATCCTGATTGTTTAGGATCAAGAAGCACATCAGCTCAAGATTGAAACTCTGCTCTTTTAGATACGTGGATTGCATTTCCACAGTAAGATAAACAAGGCTCCTAGGTTTGTCTCTCATCCCTTCAGAATTTTTTTAGTGACAGATTTTTGCACTAAGCAGTCAAAGTGTGCCAGCACTGGAGTGAGCGATACTATTGGTGTTAGCTGCAGCATGCTGATACATCCTTGAGAACTAGCACATCATTAGTGATACCTTCACAACTAAGGTCAGATGGCACACAAAGCAGTATATCCTTAAGGCAAGTGTGTAGAAAACATTTAATTCAACCTCTTTATCATTGGTTCTCTTGAATTGCATATACAATATGCACATATGTATAAGCATGTGTGCGTGTATACACATACATATACACATTCATGCAAGTCTACATCTGATATAGACTTGTCAATTGGAACCATACTTCATCTCACAATGTTGCTAGAATCTGTCCATCAGTCCAATTAAGAATTACATTACAATTAAGTTATTAATAAGGTAAAAACAAGGTAAAACATAACATTTGTCCATATACAGTTTTTATTTATATCTATCACTTTGTCATTCAAGCACTGTAACAAATTTTTAAAAGTTGTCAAGATTCTGCATAGAAATGTGAATTGGACCTAATGTATCATATGTCCACATTAAACTCATACACTGGGATGATGAATCTCATAATCTAACTCAAATTTACATTTATATTTAGTTTTGAAATTTGTAGTCCAATTCAATAATTTTCTTGCATCTCTGAGAAATGCTTCCTATCATACATAGAGCTAAATATTCTCTTTTGGGAGTCACATTTATAAACTAACATTTGAATGTTTGCACTAATAATTGATTTGTCTACATAGTCAATTATTTTATTGATTACTATTAACAGATTCAGAAACACATCAAAATTGAGAGTTACCGATGTGAAATTTTAATTATAAATATTGACTGGGTGCTCTTGGAAACAGTTATACTTCATACTCTGATCTATTCTGGTAAACTATCCAATTGCGTTGGAGCCAATAAATGAACTGGATTATTCTAGATTTCTAGTCTTAAAGGCTCTGCAGGGAAAAAAAGCTGGAAAAGGCTATACCAAGAGAAATATATAACAAATTATAATAACATAGTCATTAAATGATCTTAAAAAATTAGGGCTTCCTTTAAAAAATGTGCCTTAATTCTGAAAAAAAGGATGCTTCATAGGTGTGTTTATCAGGCATATTTTTTGTAGTTTCCCATCTTATACCATTTCCTTTCCAAAGTTAAAAAAAACCTCTGCTAACTTGCTTCTTTCTACAATTATGAAATATTATTGAAATACTGTATATAACTAGTATACAATATGAAATATGTGGAAGTATGATCTTTAGTTTGCATTTTTATCCATTTTCTATTATTTGCTCTATCTAAAATTATTTATACAAAAGAAAAGAAATCAGCTATGTTCAAACTCTGTAAGTATAGTAGGTTAATTATCATTAGTTCAGAAAAAATAATTACAAATGTTAATCTTGATAGATTAATATATAAAGATAGACCATTTTTAATAAATTGCCTCATTTATCTTAATTATTTCCACTAATGCATTGATTAGTTTGAAGAGTTATCTCTCAGGTGATAACATGAAATGCATTTGATTTTGGTTCCAAAAGACAGTGGCTATTCAAATGTATGAAAAGGTGCTTTTTCATTCCTCCATTTTATTTCTCTCACATATATGTGAACAATTTCCCTTGATTCACTCTGCCTCACAGTAATAAGGATTCAGCCAAGATATATTTATTTTAGGCCAAGCAAACATGGGTCCATGTGGCCTACCTTTGACTGGGACAGGATGAAAGGCAAGAAGGGCCTCCTAACGGTTTGGTGACATCTCCACTAATCCTCCCTCCTTTTGGGAACAATTACAGATGTCAACTAGAAGGCATCCACAGGAAAATTTCCAAGGCATATTCTGAAAAGATTTTGCTTGCAGACCCAAAGTAAAAGCATTTTGGTATCATTCTGAATGATGACAGTTCATGGAGTTACCTCAGTCCCTATATTGTCATAGAAAATGCTTTCCACATGCAGCTAGATTAGATACATTTGTCAAAAGGATTAGATCAGGGATCCTCAACTTCAGTTCATCAATTCTTTCAAAAAGTTTCAAATTGTTCAGTGACTCCCAAACATGAGGGTTGATATTGACCACTTTGGAAAACCTTGGATTAGACAAATATGAAAGATTAAGCCTGCAATTCATTGCAATGATTGAATAGTAGTTTAACAATCTGTTAACTACCATAATTCACCACAGGCTACATGCTTATAAAAATCAGTTCTAGCGGGGGATGCAAAAGAGGTGACATCTTAAGGCTCTGTAGCTGCGTTCCCCAAATCATGCAGATAGCATCAGTGGGGTGTTTTTTTTTTCCAATTCAGCGATGAAACTCTTTCATAAGTGGTTTAAGGCCAATCAGATTGAATGAGTGCACGCAGAACAAAGATTTCTAATCATTATCTGGTTCCTACCCTTCTTTTGCCCTGATCAAAGGCCAAGGGTAACTTTCTCAAATCTTACCTTGACCTTACATGCAACTGAATAGCCACAAAGAAGAAAAAGTACTGTTAATGTCTTTCTTATGTAGCCTAAAACCTATGGCAATCCTCCAAAAACTACTGAATCAGGAATGAAACAGATGATTCGAACCTTTCTTCTTCATTTGTTTAATGTGTTGATTATTAAAGTGTAATAATCTTTTATTTTTCTTTAAAAGCAAATACTGCAATGTGAAGGAGGTAGAAAAAAGAAGAAAAAAGGCAAGATGATAAAAAATTCTACCATATTTAAACTGTAAAAAACAAAAATATATTGCAGTATTATAAACCTTACATTATATCCCGCTTTCCCTTCCATCTGTATCCCCACTATTGGTCATAGTTAAATTATTTGAACTTTATATCAAATATTAGTGATTGTTTGTTTCTATTTAAATTTTAAAATTGGTATTCCACATATGTAAATTTGCCTTGCTCTGTGATACAATATATGAATGGGAGCCATTTTTGCCTGAATTTTCTTAAACTTCCATTATGGATATATTCTGCAATTTTAGTCTCCCAGAACAATATTGTATGCAAGAGATATTTTTCCACTATTATTCCTTCTATGATCAACAGATCTCATAGTAAACTAGTATTTTTTAACTTAGCTTTTCTGGAATTATGTCTAGCAAAAATATCTGTAGGCTCAGCTTAAGTTTCATTTTTTAAAAATGGATTCTTTTGATTCCCTTCTTTGTAACACTTTTGAGGTTTTTTTGTATGACCACTACATGTGATAGCATGTTCCTTAGTTGTTACAGCATTTCCAGTGCTTGTTGTTATGTGTTTTATCTATCTTGACAACTGTAGATTGAGTAATATATCATCTATAGAATATTTTATATCTGCATGATGGTTCATCGCACAGTCAGCCAGAAGTTCAGATTGAATTTGCCATTTTTATCCACCTATCAAGTTCTTTCCAAGGACCTGGGATAGGCAATGTTAATGTTTGATGGTGTATTATTATTATTATTTATATATTTATTGATGTATGCTATTGATATATCTATCAAATGTAAAAACTGCCCATCTTGCTCATAGAGTGATCCTCAGTGGCTCTGTTATTATTTTATTAATAATCATTGTTACTGTAATTAAAATGTATATGTTTCCCAACTTCCAACAACTTTTAAATTGTAGCTTGGAGTAAATTTAAATAATTTTTCCCCATAGCTGTTCCTATTGGTTCATTGTAAATTACTTCTCTTAAATTTTGCATCCATTTTGAGATACAATTTTAATATATTAACTCTGTGCCATATTCAGCAACAGCTTATGTACATATCTAAGTAATCATTTCAGGCTCTATCATATTTTTCAAAGTTCCTCATCTTTTTTGAGATGGCTTTTTTATTTTTCCAGTTATTTGTAAACACATTAGTTATGGTGATTTGTCCTTTTTCACTGTAACCTACTATGATAGGCTCATAATTGATTGCTCATAATTTTTTTTTGCACATAAATAAAAATTTATACAAGTGTATTATTGTCTTTTTCTGTTTTCCTCAACATAATTTCATACTACACTTAGCATAGATATAATGCTAAATAGATTCAAGGATCATCTTTCTGAAAAGAGCTCACATTCTTTGGCTATAAATACCAGCCAATCCTGAATTCGCTGTGATGTCAGAAAATAATTCAGGAGAAATTGGTGGGATCCTTAGGCAAAATATAGATTTGTTTTGCTTTATATAATGTGATCTAAAATGAACAAAACAAGTGATGAAATAACTCAAAAAACATTAACAAAGTTAATGTGGTCTAAAATGAACAAAACAAATCCTTTACCTATATAAATCAAATTTTACTAGTTGAAACAAATGCACATACTAAAGACAAAGCCTTATGTTACATTCTAGAATCATTTTTTTTATTTTTTTTAAATGTAATACCTTAGTACAGTGCTCCTCAAGATTTGTGTTATCATGACTGGCTTCCTAAAATAAAAAATGAATTTGAATAATCCACAAATATGAAACAGTTGGTGTTACAAGTTGGGCAAGAGATAAATATATCATATTTAATAATGAAAATATTTATTTATTGTGCTCTTAAACTTCTACATCAATTACTGCTAATGTGGCCTTGCTGTGGCAACATGTACAAAACCGAAATGTGAATGTCCACTATATTCTTATTTTGCCTACAGGAACTAGATCAGGTTAGAAAACACCCTGCCCAACTCTTTGTCTACTGCATTAATTATTTAATATTAATTAAAACTTTATATTGGGAGAGGCCTGCTTGTGCTAACAAAGTTAAATAAAACTGAACAGTGTACAGTATATTATTTCCTTTTACCATTTTTTACTCAGAAACTTATATCTTTCAGCATAAGTTATATCAAAAACCATAGCCTTTGAAGAATCCCTACACAAAACTGACTTTAGATCAGGGGTCTCCAACCTTGGCCATGTTAAGCCTGGAGGACTTCAACTCCCAGAGACCCCTGCTTTAGATGATACCATCTCTCTACCGCAATTCAAAGATATATAAATATGGAGCAAATGACTCACTGGGTCTTTTTCACAAGAAACATTTTGTAATAGCAATCTTCATTTACCCTTTATTGCAGCTTTCTCTAAGCAGGGGCCTAATAGACCCAATGTATTAGAAGGGACCACATTAAAGAAAGCTGCTCATTGTATGAAATTGAATTAAGTAGTTGAAAAACAATTTCACAACTCTTTGTACTGAAAAGTACACTGCTGAAAAAAATAAAGGGAACACAAAAATAAGACATCCTAGATCTGAATGAATGAAATATTCTTATTAAATACTTTGTTCACTACATAGTTGAATGTGCTGACAACAAAATCACACAAAAATTATCAATGGAAATCAAATTTAGCAACCCATGGAGGTCTGGATTTGGAGTTACACTCAAAATTAAAGTGGAAAAAAAACACTACAGGCTGATCCAAGTGTGATGTAATGTCCTTAAAACAAGTCAAAATGAGGCTCAGTAGTGTGTGTGGCCTCCACGTGCCTGCATGACCTCCCTACAACACCTGGGCATGCTCCTAATGAGGCAGCAGATGGTCTCCTGAGGGATCTCCTCCCACACCTGGACTAAAGCATCCCCCAACTCCTGGACAGTCTGTGGTGCAACGTGGCATTGGTGGATGGAGCGAGACATGATGTCCCAGATGTGCTCAATTGGATTCAGGTCTGGGGAACAGGCGGGCCAGTCCATAGCATCAATGCCTTCGTCTTGCAGGAACTGCTGACACACTCCAGCCACATGAGGTCTAGCATTGTCGTGCATTAGGAGGAACCCAGGGCCAACCGCACCAGCGTATGGTCTCACAAGGGGTCTGAGGATCTCATCTCGGTACCTAATGGCAGTCAGGCTACCTCTGGCGAGCACATTGAGGGCTGTGCGGCCCCCTAAAGAAATGCCACCCCACACCATTACTGACCCACTGCCAAACTGGTCATGCTGCAGGATGTTGCAGGCAGCAGAACGCTCTCCTCGGCGTCTCCAGACCCTGTCATGTCTGTCATATGTGCTCAGTGTGAACCTGCTTTCATCTGTGAAGAGCACAGAGCACCAGTGGCGAATTTGCCAATCTTGGTGTTCTCTGGCAAATGCCAAACGTCCTGCATGGTGTTGGGTTGTAGACTCCGTCTCATGCTACGACTAGAGTGAAAGCACCGCCAGCATTCAAAAGTGACCAAACCATCAGCCAGAAAGCATAGGAACTGAGAAGTGGTCTGTGGTCACCTCCTGCAGAACCACTCCTTTATTGGGGATGTCTTGCTAACTGCCTATGCTTTCCACCTGTTGTCTATTCCATTTGCACAACAGCATGTGTAATTGATTGTCAGTCAGTGTTGCTACCTTAGTGGACAGTTTGATTTCACAGAAGTGTGATTGACTTGGAGTTACATTGTGTTGTTTAAGTGTTCCCTTTATTTTTTTGAGCAGTGTACAAATTTCCTAAATTAAAGCAGAGCATTTAAAAATAAAAAGGTTATAAATAGATTTTTAAAATGTACTTACTTTTTTTAACCTGTTCTTTGGAAAGCTTTTAACTTGCTGGAGTGGTTTGATTCCAGTTGGAGTAGAGAAAAGTAAAGATTTAGCAGTGGACACTGGAGATTGAAAAAAGAAAAGTAAATATTGAAGCTCTGACATAAATAGCATAACTAAATTTATTTTCATCAGCTGAAACAAAATTATCCACTGAACATTTCCTATAATACAACTGTTTTATTACAAATTTCACTAATTGTGTTTTTCAATGGGACTTAGGAAGTATGCATTTTCTGTCACACCACCTGCTTTCTGAGAACCAGAGATTAGATTAACCTCAACATGCTGACCTTTTGTGAAGTGTTGAAGAAGGCTAGTTGGTTCATGGAAGAATTTTGTTGATTGTTCTCTTTAGGTTTTCTCTTGGTAACTAGTGTAAGTTTTTTACTCTTTATTATTGTTTGTCTGCTTGTTTGCCTTTATCTGCTGTTAGGTGCCCAGAGTTGCCATTGTGAGATAGGTGATCATAAGATTCAATCAATCAAATAAAAAAGATACAAAGTAAATGCATCTAGAGGGGGAAAATTTTGAGAAAATTCTGACAAAGATGAGTGAAGTGAACATATTTCAGGGCTTTCCTCATGGCTGTGTCTATGTGCAGGGGTCTTCAAACTTGACAGCTTTAAGACTTGTGGACTTCAACTCCCAGAATTCCTCCTCTAGTTATGTTAGCTCAGGAATTCTGGGAGTTGAAGTCCACAAGTCTTAAACTTGCCAAGTTTGAAGACCCTTGGTATAGACAAATGAAATTGCTAGTATCTATAGTCCAACCCATATTTCTCATCTCGTAGGTGCCACTTTGCTGGTGAGATTATGTGCATTTCAAATTAATTTATTATTTATTTAACTTGGCTTTGATCTTGCATTTTAAGGATTGTAAATGCTCACAAGATCTTCTAGGGAGCGATTTCCTTATTTAAAATATTGGCTAGTGAAAGAATAAATAAAATAGGTGTCTGCTTTTCCTGTAGAGATGAATCTTATTCTAATTTCCAGAAATTATGAAGATACTCAGCTTTTAGCTTTTATATCAGGAAGCTTCTCCTTGATCTTTGGGCCAGGAATATCCTCCCAAGCAAATTTCCAAAAGTTTTCATAATCTTGCTGGTTCTTTATGATTCCAAGTTTAGTTAGTTCATTGTGCAATCCAATAACCTTAAACCAAGGATTGGAAGAAAAACATTCCTTTAAAATGTGTAATTAATTAAGGAGCATCCATATGAAACATAAGATTTACTCTATCAAGCACCAATGTCTTTATAAATGAGCAATGCATGTCAAGTGGAAATGGAAGTTCTTGAGTTGTTGGAGTTCTATCTTGAGACAAAAGCATATAGTTATTGTGATTTCTGCAGAAACTAAACAGTTTTTCAAAAGTAATATTGAACACCTATCCCATAATATATCAGATTTTTCCAAAAGATCCTGCTCTAAAACAACTTCAATCATATTAGAATTGTATTAGTAGAAGAACATATTTATTGCCCAATAAAATCAATCCAACTAACTATATATAGTTCAATAGTTCTCATACCTGGTCTATGGACCACCACCAATTGTCTACTGCAGCCTCTCCTATTTAAGTCCCCTTGTCACCTCTTTCCCCCATCTCCCTGATAGTCAGCTAGTTTGCAAGCATGGATTAGGATCTGAGAACTGGTTCACTGAAGTATACAAGTGATAATACAAATAGTAAGGTGAGTGCTAACATTCAGAGGACTGATAGTAAACAGATCTACCCATCCCCCACCCCAAATAGAACTGTGATCTTACAGCAACACTTCAAAAAGAAAAGTGAATATGAAATAAGATGAGTTCCTAAAAATGGGATTTCATTGTGTTGGCTATCATCATTGTGTTGGGGCCTGAAACTCAAGGAATTTCTTTTGAAGAACACTCTTGACCAGCTATGAATTGTTATGATGGCATGGGAATTATCAAATAATTCAAGTGATACATAAATTTTTGGACTAAATGTTTCTCTAGAAAATGTAGTTCTCAAAGATATTTTAAAAAGTATGAGGGTAAGAAGGCATACAGAAATGCAGCCAAAATAATTATTTTATTCTCAAAAAAGGGAAGTAATATTTATTCTCTAAAAATGTGAACTAGCAAAGACACAAAAAATAGAGTATTAGTTTAAATGGGTGGTCCTTCTGGTTTCTGAATGTTGATTTAGCAATCCAACGCTACACAAAGTTTAAGAAAGAAATGTTCTAGTAGGATTAACCTTTTTCTCCTATAAGCACATAACCCAGGATTTGCTAAATTAAATAAAGGAGTAATCAGTCTTCATGAATGTAAACTTTTCAAGAAGTATCCAAAATGCCAGATGCCCACAATGACTGAATAAATGCTAAAAAGTAATGTTGGCTATCTATAAATAAATGCTGCCCGTTGTTGTTACTTCACTTTATGGAAAAATTAATACTGTCATACAATTATATCCTATCAGTACCCAGACTGAAATATATTTTTCATGGTTATGACTGTTTTTCTATTCTAAAGTTAAGATCTACATTTGAGAAAGATCTTAAAGTTATGCAGATTATGAGACAGTCCTGAAGATAAAATGCATTTTCACAAAGAGCTGTGAGTGACTACTTAGGATCTATTTGTAATTCAGAATACAACACATTTCCATACAGACAGATCACTAAGAAGATCAGCATAAAACCTAGATACTTGTTTATTTTTTCTGATAATAGTTTTGTATTATAATGTAAAGATTAATTTTAGTAGTTTTATAGTACTAACACAGGGTAAAAATATGGCATTTTATAATTACTTCTTTGTGATCACATAAGTGCCTATCTTACTAATTGTTAACTAACAATTTGGAGGAAGAGGAGGAAATGCTCAGAATATGGCAGAGAGATTAAGACTGGTGTAGATGGGAACCCTTTAGGTCATGGCTTTCTAATGAGAAGAATAAGAAAATTGTAATCATTGGAAACTTATACCGGTAGTATGATTACTAGCTGAGTAAACAATGGGTTTTAATGCCCAGGGCTTGTCAGTGTAAATTGAACTGCTTTTTAAATGAGAGCTTCTACGTTACTTTTGGAATGGATAACCAAGCCTTCAAACTAGATTGACAAGGTGCTTTTACCTCATATGGCTGCTAGTGATGTGGACAGAACGAACTGTTAGAGAGGAAAGGAGAAAGGGAAGCGGGCCAGGACTCTTCACAGCTGACTCAAGCAATCATTTGACTCTCCTGGAGGAAAAAATCATTTTCTAAAACACTTCAGTGACAACCACAAAACTAAATGGAGAAGGGTGTCTTACCCAGTAGCTGTTTGACTGTGACACGGACTCCAAGTACTTGGTATCATGCGACAGCTTGCAGAAAGGAAGTTTACGACGAGGGGTGCACTTTTATCGAAGAAGATTTTAAAAAATGGTTAATTTCTCTCCGAATAGCTGGGAAACAAAGCTCAAAACAAATGACAAGTAAACATTCAGCCACAGGAAGCCATTAACCACAGTGGGCACCAATTAGAACTCAGCAGGCATTCTTAAGACCGCCTGGTGCTCCTCCCCACCCCTCCCACTGAACTCCCCAGCGTTGACCGAAGACTCGCAAACACAGCCTTAGGAAGCATCCTCTTTCATTCACTCAGTGATTTGTATGCTGGTTGATAGGCTTATAAATTTGTTTGTAGACTTGTTCAATCTCCCTTCAAGTTTCTTGTCCTCAGATGTCACAAACTACCGCCTGGCCAAAAATTAATTAATTAATTTCTATCTACTCTTTGGAGAAAACATCATCTAAGTTGTAGGAGTTCCTTTCTCTTATTTTATTTATTTGATGTTCAATGATGAATTCTTTAATACAATATTTTAAAATAAATGAATTCTTTGTTTTAGAGAATCCTCTTTTCTTTCAAAGGCTAACCTAAGTTCCCATATGGAGGTGGGACAGAATTTCCATAATTCAGACTACAAGCTACTGTCTGGAAATTAGAGTTGTATAGAAAAATTAGTTTCCTTGCTGCTGCTAACTGATTGTTTGGATTTTTACAGCCAGGTCTGGTTGTTCTAATTCTAAAGCATCCATCTTAGAGTTTAAGTTTGCCAGTATATTGTGCTATCTGAAGGCATTTTAATTTACTTTAATTATGATGATGAAGAACAAACCAAGATCAAACTATGATTTCATCAACTAAACAGTCATCCAGCTACAGGCAGGAACTTTTCTCCCATTTTTCCAGTTCTGAGTGTCATGAAGGCTGTTGAGATGATGATATCAGGGTTTAATTTGAAATGTTCAATCCAACTTTCTTCAACTCTTAAAAAAATATGTCTAAGTTTAAGATAAACAAATTGCAAGTCCCCAAGTTCAATTGCCAGAAAAAAAAAACCTGATTAATTCAAATTAAAAACCACTATTTTGAAACTTCCAGAGGAGCTGAAGACAGTGAATCTGAGATTCATCAAGACACATGAATATAGCAGGAAACCAAGTCTCAACTGGGTTGAGATTGACTTCTGATCCAACCAGTCCATTGTCAGTTACAGTGATGGGCGGGAACAAATCAGACTTACCTCCAACCATATCTTTTTGACATTTCATAGGCAATCTATCATGTTTTAAAGCTACTATTCACATGGCTGCAGTACCTTTCTAATGACAATAAAGGAACAATACTGTCTTCCCATACTCTGTTCCAGTAAACACCTTAGGCTGCAAGATGTTCATGTGTATAATATATATAAAAGCACTTCATATTTATATTGTGTTTCACATATTTCATTTCATATGTTACAAAAACATGAAAAACCATCATCTTAATTTCATATGAAACTTCTGTTTATCAGAGTAGCGCTAACACTATCAAAACCAGACACTTCTTAATTCACAGAAAAGATTCTTGATCTTTTCAACTGATTCTGCAATTAGCTATTTCAAGTCTTCCTATTTATTAAAACAAGCATTTGGTTCAATTTATCATTTAATAACCTTCCTTGTCTTTTAATTGAAAATTCTACAAATAATGCTAATTTTTTAAAAAAAATCTAAAGTGGCCTTTAAATTTAGGCATTGATTTAGTAACATTAAAAAGGAAACACTTATTCTCTTATTAAAGACAGTTCCTTTTGAGACAGGTGACTATTAAGAATACAGCAGATTATAAAGCATAAAATAAGCCCTTATAGGGAACATGACAGCCCTTTAATACTGCTTGATTGTTTTAGCTATCTTTATCCTTTAAAACTTTATAGTACCAATAAAATTACTGAAATTCAAATATAAAGAAAGAACAGTTGCATTTCCTTATCGTTTAAGGTCAACGTAGG